CCGCTTCGGCCCGGGCGCCAGCGCCGCAGGAACACGCCTCCCCTCCGGCTCCCAGGTGCTCGCGGGACTGTCCAAGGGCTGGTGGTTTCAAACCCTCGCTCAGGGAGGTTTTGCCCCACGCAGGCAGGGGCCAACTCCCCTCCACAGCACGCCTCGGTCAGGAACGCCACCTCACTCGCGGCTCTGCCCGAGGACAAACACGGCCTTACAGCGCTCTTCACCGAAACCAAAGCAAAATCACGGCAGAGCCTCGAGTTCTTCCCCAAAACCAAAGCAAAATCATGGCAGAGCCTTGGCCACGCTCCGCTCAGAGAAATCCCTACTCTTTTGCTGTATTGGGGCTAACACCCCTCAGCTCCGCGACTGAAAACGCCAACATTATCCACAAAAAGTGCCACCGTTGGCCACGTTAGCTCACCCACAGCCGCGCAGAACTAGTTCAGAAAACGAAAGGCACGGCCCGTGCCAAGAAGAGGTACAAAGCCCTGCTTCCCACCAGGTCAGGGTAACGCTGCTGGGGGTAACAACACTAACTTTCAGCATTTTTGGCATTTTGTTTTAAACTCCATTTAGGTTTTCCAGAAGGCTCAACATCCAGGATAGCAATGAACTCCTACCCGGCACCCTCCATTTGGCCGCCAACAACTTCAGCTAAACTCAGAGCCCACGCCTTGACCCCTGCCCAGGTTCGACAGCTTCCCCGGGGCTCCCCAGCTCCCACCCCCTTCACGTCCTTCCCACCAGAAGGAAGCAGGCACCCCGCAGCGCGGCCACTCCGTGGGAAGTCACTACACCTCTCTGCCCGCCCGGGAAAGGATTTGTTTTCCCACAAGCCCACACCCCCTTCTGGGAACAGCCAAATCCAGGGTTTGAGGAGCTGTAGCCGCCCACCCCACCTCCCGGTGCCCCCAACTCCAGGACTTGCCCTCCCTTACGTGACGCCACCCACTGAGATGTCTTAGAAAAATCCCACCTCTTCTTTTTTTACACTCTTAAGATAAAGCTGATCCCGGCACCCAGTGCGGGCGCACTCCTTCAGCTCCTCACACCCACCTCAGCCACGCTCTCCCCAGTTTCTAGAGGCTGTTTTCGGTCACCTCACAAGTCCCACCGAAGGCCAGGTACAAAGCATTCACGCAGTTTTCGGTTGTTGTTTGATCCTGTCACTCCCAACCTCACCTGCAGTTCATAAAACCCCTCTTCCTTCACCATTCCCCTTATTTACGCCACTGCTTTTTCCAAGTCAGCATACTGAGGACTGTAAAAAGCCAACTATAATTTTGCAAGTATGAGGCATAATTAAAAGCCAAATGCTACATCTGAAGAAGTATGAAGCATAATTTTCTAAACCCCAAAAAGTTCTTGAAGGATTTCACCCTCCCAAAG